GTTCCCTTACTTACATCAATGCAAATCGCTTCGCTTACGGAGTCTGTATTTACGGCTCATATGTTATCCAAATATCTTGATTTGATGGAAAACTGATTCTGATTCTAGAACTTGTGCTGGATTATATTATTGTCCCATAGGTAGGTGTCGCTTCATTGAGAAATCTGTCAATAAAAGAACACCCTGCAGCCCTGGCGGGTTTGGCTCAGCCGTAGAGCATGGCCTGCACACCAAAGAGTCTCAAGTTGGATTCTGGTCAAGGGCACGTACCTCGGTTGCAGTTCATCCCTGGCCCTGGTTGGGGTTATGAGGGAGACAGGCAGTCGATGTGTCCCTCCCACGATAATGTTTCTCTCTCTCCCTGGGTCCCCTTCTCTCTCTATCTGAAGATAAATGGAAAAATATCCTCAGGTGAGGATTAAACAAAACAAAACAAAACAACACCCTGCAGGGAAAAAAACAACAGGCTTCCCAAAGAAGAGAGAGGAGTTAAGGGCTTCAGTTTCTCACCCCTGCAAAGAGAGCGAGCTGCAGCTTAGAACAGGGGTGAAGAGGTGGGAGCCAACCAGAAGGGAGGTGGCACTTTTTACCCTGTATCCAAGTACATATGTAATGGGTCTCAAACATGCCCTGTTGGTCTAGTGTCCTGGGAGGATAACTAATCATCTTCTCAAAGGACCAGTTGGGTAAAGACTTTGTTTTTACTGAGAGGAGCCAGGAGACAAGGGACCAGGGAGCCTAAACATGTTCAGAATAAGCAAGAATTGAGCACACCAACCACGACCAGCTCTTCAGGGACTGGAGTTCCACAGTAGAAATAAACCACCAAACCTTTCCCAGTATGTAGCTTGAAAACCCATCCCCCACAAACACTTGAACCCATTGCATCTGTATAAATGCAAAAGGCTACATTATAATCAAATTGCTTTATATCTATGGCCTATAATCTTTAAATACCTTCTAGTACTTTAAGTACTACTCTAGTATTTTAAGTGCTTCCAATATTTTAGTACTAGACAACAAATATTTCATAACTGAGTACGATTTTCTTGGGAGTGAATAGTCCAAAGGAAGATTGTCCAAAGGATACCTTAGCAAGACTTCAAGCATTAAAAACATGTGGTTGATTGTTTGCTAGTATTTATTTAAATATTTTCCACTTTCTCTTATTTAATAGGGTAAATTTTTCCTTGTTATTATTTTTTAAATTAATAAATATGGAAGAATAGTTTGGAACAACTCAACAGAATGTACCAGGGTTTTCTAAACAATGCCTAACAATGTCATTATGTATTATAATTTTATTATCACCAGCATAAAATAACATTGTAACCTCAAAATTTGTAAATATTTTAAATAATGATTGTAGATAAAAATGCAATAAACATAATATTTAAATATTATTCTCTCAGCTCTAGTTAATAAAATACTCGATTTAGGAATAGGTTGTATTTGCTAAATACAAGTTTGAAATTTATTGGCTTTTTTAATTTAAATGACTATGTATTTCTTTTTTTTTTTTTTTTTTCAAAGGTCCTAATTATAAAAGTTAATGTGAATGATTAACTAGTTAGTCTGACACATAAATTAGGGCTTAGTTAATGTTTATAAATTGACTTAAAGACCTAATTTATTTAGTGTTTCAGTGTGTAATTGTACATCTGAGGCCCGTGGTCAGTGTCCAATGGGAAATCTTTCATTCTCTTAATTCTGGAAATTGTGGAGCAGTAAGAAAACTAAACACTATCATGTTTCATGCAAAATTATGTGGGAGATAATATTCACTGTCAGCAACCTTCCTCACAAGATCCTCATGTTGTCCAGAGTATACTTAGAATCAAGCCCAAGCATGTACTTCTGAGGGAATTGTCCATTTTAGAAAATATATTCCTGTATTACATTTGTGCACGCACATGCTTTTCCCATTGCCCAGGATTCTCCTCACCCTGTTCACTTTCCTTGCTTTGTAAACTCTGGCATGTCTATCACAATCCCATCCATACTTTACCTCTTCTCTGTGCTCTTCTCAGCTTTCGTGGTAGAATTAAGCATCCCCTTCTCTACATTAACTTAATACTTTCTACATAACTGTGGTAAGCTACTTCAATAATACTTACCTATTCAGCCTACCTTAGTATAACTGTTGTATTATAACATGCATTTGGATGTTGTGAAGGGAAGGTGTGTGACCAAAAACAAAAAACAAACAAAAAAAAAATTTTTTATGAACCGAGCCACACTAAGCACTTTACAGTCAATACATTCAAGCCTCACAACAAACATATGATATTACTGATGATACGAATTGCACTTTACAGATGAGAAAACAGTCTGAGTGAGGTTAAGTACATTGTCTAAGTTTCACAGTATGAAAAGGGCTGATCAGCTGTATCTGATTGCAGAGCCCAGACCAGTGGTCACCTAGAAAACATTTAAAACTGGCTCCTGCCTCCTCTGAGAAGAAGAAAAATAAGAAAGAAAGAAAAGAGAAAAGAAATGTTCCACTGTAACGTTGGCTCATTTTCACCTATATGTCCACTACTACCAATTTTAACACAGCAGGATGTCAATGCCTTTCCGAGGAGGTGCTCCCAAGAGGCCACTGTGAAGTCAGAGCAACTGGTCCAGTGCACCACGACCTTCACCACTGTGTCTGTACTTCCTACTCATGTTTACTCTGCTCCCTCCTCAATGCTTGTGCTGTACCTGGTATCAAACAGGTGCTCAAAAATCCAACAGAAAAAAAAACACAAAAAACCATTTATACTTATAAATTAACTACAATATGTTTAATAGACACACATCTTGGTAAAATAGTTTCCTGATTTTTTGACATTTTTAATATCTGAAAAGTAGTTTTAGATAATTAATCATTTAGTAGTAAGGACCAATAGTATTTTAAAATAAAATATAGCAAATGTATTCTAAGCAGTGACTATTTTTAAAAATTGAAGACTTTTTTCCCTTTAGGTTCTGCATTCTGGAAAAATTAAGTGGAGACTTTCATAATTAATCAGATTGTTCAATAAGTGCTGACTAAAAATATCCATATATTAGTTTAAACTTCCCTGTTCTCCCTCATTTTTCTTCATATTATGGAAATTTTGCCGATATATTCAAATACAGTAAATCCATCAAATCTCCGTATTACTTTCATCATAATTAAAATGCTTTCCATAATACCCAAATCATTTAAGTAAACTTAAATGTCTATAAAGTGTGAGTGGGTCATATAGACCTAGCCCCCACTCCTAGGAAGTAAGAAACTATTAACATTAATGTAATTTCAATAGTTATAAGGAAAACCATCTAAAATTATATAAATTCTATTTAAACTTGTGTTATTTTTTTATTCCAGAACTTTAACATTTATTCAGTTTATTCAAGCTAAACCAAAAAAAAAGAAAAGAAAAAAGGTTTTCATTAAACTGAAAATGTCAACATAATTTTCTGCTTCTCTATTCTCCTACATAAAATTCATCATAGCTTCAAGGCCATAGTAATCAAAACAGCATGGTACTTCATAAAAACAGACATATAGATCAATGGAACAAAAGAGAGAGCCCAAAAATAAACCCACACCTCTATAGCCAATTAATATTTATTTGATAAAAGAGGCAAAAACATATAATGGGGTAAAGATAGTCTCTTCAATAAATGGCATTGGGAAAATTGGACATATATATGCAAAAAGAAAATGAAACTAGACCACCTTCTTACACCATACAAAAGAATAAACTCAATGTCCTTAAGCAAAAGAAACAAAAGAAAGACCTAAACAAATGGGACTACATCAAACTAAAATGTTTTTGCACGGCAACGGAAACCATCAACAAAATAAAAAGACAACACACTGCATGGGAGAATGTATTTGCCAATACATCTGATAAGGGGTTGATATCCAAAATTTATAAGAAAATTATAAAACTCAACACCAAAAAATAAAAACAAAAACAATTAAGAAATGGGCAACAGACCTAGATACTTCTCCAAAGAGGACATACAGATGATCAATAGACATATGAATAGTTGCTCAACCTCACTAATCATCAGAGAAATGTAAATTAAAATCACAATGAGATATCACCTTGTACCTGCCAGAAAGGTTATCATCAATAAATCAACAAACAATAAATGTTGGCAAGGATGTGGAGAAAAGGGAACCATTGTGCACTGTGGTTGGGAATGCAGATTGGTGCAGCCACCGTGGAAAGCAGTATGGAGTTACCTCAGAAAATTAAAAATGGAACTGCCTTATGACCCAGAGATTCCACTTTTGGGAATATATACTGAGAAACCCGAAACACTTATTGAAAAGGATATATGCATCCTATGTTCATGGCAGCATCATTTATAATAGCCAAGACTTGGAAGCAACCCAAATGCCTATCAGTAGGTCAGTGGACAAAAAAGCTGCAGTACATTTACACAATGGAATACTACTCAGCTGTAAAAATGAATAAAAAAATAAAAATTTAAAAAAGAAGGAAATTTTACCTTTTGTGAGAGCATGGATGGACCTGGAGAGTGTTATGCTAAGTGAAATAAGCAGGCAGAGAAAGACAAGTACCATATGATTACATATAGATGTGGAATCCAAGGAACAAAATATACTAAAAAATAAATGGAGACAGGCTCATGGATACAGAGAACATATTGACAGCTGTCAGAGGGCAGGAGATTTCGGACTATATGAGAAGGGTGAAGAGATTAATCAAAGGAAAAAAAAAAAAAAAGACTCATGGACACACACAATAATATGGTGATTACCAGAGGAAGGGGGTAAAGGGAGGTAGAAGAAGGGAAAGGGAGGATAAATGGTGATGGAAGGAGACTTGATTTGCAAATACACAATACAATATACAGATGATGTATTGTAGAACTGTACATCTGAAACCTGTATAATTTCATTAACCAATGTCACTCCAATAAATTCAATGAAAATAAATAAAATGCTTACACTTTCAACTGTTTAATCTTTAGCATCATACAAATCTCACCTTTGAAAAAGGCCTTCTGCCTCTATACTATATCCCTTAAGGTCCTCATGTAATTTCTGTAAACACTGCATGACTCGTCTTTGATGTTCATCATCCTTTAACTTATGAGCTTTGATCAGAAAGTCATAGCAGTCCAGAGGTCCATTGCAAACAGCCAAAGTTTTCATAGAAGATTCTGTAGCCACAGTGGGAGGCACACTCTCTGGTGTCTGAACTGTATAGGCTATAAACAAAAAAATATATAAAATTTTAGATATTCTTAAATGAAGCTATTTCATAGTGCTCTACATAATATTCTTTTTTAATTGAATTTTTTTTTAAAGAGAGAAGATGGTAGAGGGAGAGAGAGATAGAAACATCGATGAGAGAGAACATCAATTGGCCACCTCCTGTATGCCACCCCACTGGGGATTGGGCCCACAACCTGGGCATGTGCCCTGACCTGGAATCAAACCTGGTGACCTGTTGGTGCATGGGTCGATGCTCAACCACTGAGTCACACTGGCTGGGCTCTACATAATATTTTTAATGGTCACATCAAAACTTTAAACTAGTTACAAGATATATATTTGAGCAGTTATTATAAATATCATTTTGATAAAAATAATACAAAACAAATAAATAAAATGTACCGTAGCTTGTGAGTGTGAAGAACGGTGTATTTCCTTTTACAGTTCCTTTTCAAAAATCGGGTCATGAGTTTTTAGACTTATTTTAAGTGAAAAATGTTTGAAAAGAGCACTTTAAGTTTGGAAGAGTTTTCAATGTCAAATACAACTTTTCTAAAGTTAAAATTGTTATCCCTTTTTGTAATGCTTTGGTATTTGATCCTTCATTTTCTCTTTATGTTAATTTATCAGTTTAAAACTTATATTTGCTTCTTTAAAGACACTCCTCAACACTTACTAGTACATGGTGCTGAAGTAGTAATGACTAATAAAAGGAAACCCAAAAGTATGCCTTAGTCTTAATCCAAATAAATAACCCACTAGCATAAGATACTCAGTTGCCTGTACTGAATTTTCGGGCTTTGACCTGACTGCAGTATTAAGTGGAGTCACAAATTATGGTGTGACCAGGATACTGACACCAGGCAACAACCACAAGTAGAATGATGGACAAGATGACCTGGTAAATCTCTTCTTGACTAAGCTATAGGGTCGCGTGGAACGACACTATAATTACATGGAAAGTAATTGTCATATATTTGCCAAGAAATTACATGGTTGACAGTGCTCCCTGAAAATTGTTCTGCATTTCTAGTGCCAAGAGCTATGTTAGCAGAAATGAAATTAGAAACAACCACAGGAGGTGTTTTCTTCTCATTTAGAAAACTCTTTCATTTAAGAAGTAAAATTTAATTTACAAGTAAATATTATAAAACTAAAAATAAAATAGAATGACTTAGAAATGTTCCTAAGAGTAATTGTTATTTGGTGTAATGTCGGCTTTATGGGAAACACAAAGTCATTTACTGCATCTCAAGCTAATTCCATATCTTATTTTGCAAGTGCAGGCACCATAAAGCATCTTTCCCAGGTTCTTCCTTACGGACAAATGAAGGTGTCAGATTACAAGAGGCCAAGATAAGAATAGCTACAGTTTTTACAGCTTACTGCTTTTTCCCCCAAAAATGATATAACAGCCTTCTTTTATGAACTGTTAAGAGTTAATATCGTAAGATACAAATAGTTTTCAATTTAGAACCATGTTCAAATGAACAAAGGGGCTGTTTTATGCTCTCACATTGTTGTGGCATAAACAAGGAACTCGTGGAAACCAAAATCACTGACTAAAACCAAGAACGTTTACAAATGATTATTATGCTAAAAACTGCTGAAACTCTTGGCTGACAAAAACTCGAGTTATTAATCATAAAAACTCTGTGTAAATAAAGTGTACTTGAACTAATATCGTACTAAATATATCTGATCCCTTAATAAAGTTTAGGGCTAGTCTAAAGTCCTGTCTACATGACAAAATTTAAACCCCCCAAAAAGATGCATTTAAAGAGCTTTTCAAGAGTTTATTTCAAGCTTTGTGATGAATTATCTTCTCTAGACAGCACATTTAATTAATAACACAGGTTGTCAGACTACCTGCATGCATACACATTTCCTTTGGTGGGTAAGCCAAAACCTGTGGCAACTAGGGAAGATATTTAGTGCTGAAGAAATCAAGTTTGTTTTCTTCTCATTTTTTCCTTTATATTCCACTCAGGAAGGTGATTGTATTTCAAAAAATAAGATTGAAGTGCTCTGTGCTGGGGGGAAGCAGTGTACAAAGTACTATTTATAGTAGTTAACATTTCTTAAAAGAAAACATGTCTAAAAATTACACATAAAATTTACCTTCACATAAATAAAGTATATGGAAGATTACATAAGAAATTAGTGAAGCAAACATGACCTTCACTTTAAAGGACTACAGTACTGGGATCCAAGTCTCAAATTAGAAGGCTGTAAGACTCTATTAGAAGAAAGTCATTCTTTGGATTATAAGAAAAGTTGGTACTTCTTATTCTGCAGAGTATAATGGGGGAAAATAAAGCAAATTTTCTAAGGGTACATAAGCAGTTTGAAAATGAGGGCTTTGAAAAGAGAAAGTGTCACATAAGTCCAGGGCCATTCAGGACAAATATGAATATAAGACAGAAAAAGGATGAGTAGCAAATGGATAGGTTAATAAGAGATGAGACTAGCCCTCTAGAACCCTCAAATGAGCATTCTCTCTCTCTCTCTCTCTCTCTCTCTCTCTCTCTCTCTCTCTCTCTCTTCTTTCCATGACCTTCTGAGATAGGGGCTATCTCACAACGATCTCACCAAATCTTCCTCTCACAGAGTGAGCCCCAGTAGCCAGTTTCTGCTACATGGCACCAATTCTTTGAAATAAACCTGATTAAAACTTGATCAATTTATTCACGAGTTCATTTTGTTCATTCGATTCCACATATAAGTGAGATCACATGACATTGGTCTTTCTCTGGCTAGCTTATTTTTATTAAAATAGAACCAGAATCATGGAAACATGGAAAAAACTGATGAATCCCAGAGGGAGGAGGGGTGGAGGGTGTCCAGAAGAGATTAACCAAAGAACTTGTATGCATATATGCATTGCCCATGGACACAGACAATAGGGTGGTGAAGGCCTGGGCAGGGTGGGAACCAGGGGGTGGGGGACATGGAGGGGGGTAAAAGGGGAGACATCTATAATACTCTCAACAATATTTTTTAAATAATAATAATAAAATACCTTAGAGTTGGCCGCACACCAATAAGCCCTATACATTCTACCAACCAAGTAGTGATGAATTAGCCCCAAGGACCAGAGATTTCTTGCTCATTTATGTACAATTGTCTGGTTGACCTCTTGGAAATCATGTACTCTTGGTAGGCAAACAAAGGTTTAAACTTCCTCAGTAATTAAAGTTGGTAACATGCTAAGGTGTGAGCTTTGTCAAAAATCCAGAAAGTTATGGGGAAATGAGCTGTGAGGCGTAATCAATACTACTTTGAGCAGTATTTAGGTCTACGAATAATAAACATCCTCGATTCGCATAGTTATTTAGTAAAATAAATTGATTTTTAGAAAACAGTTAAAATAGTTGCAGGCAAAAGACTTACAGAATCTCGGTATAAAGCAATCAAGCACAGTTCTTACTGGAAGGAAGTGTTTCTGTCTGTGGTTTTCAGTTGCCCACTGTACTTTGAAATCTGACACATACATTCACTCTTGCTAAACATGCTTTTTATTATCATTTCTTATAGAAGTAATATATTAGTAGATATTTCTTGGTCCTATAGTCATGCATGAGATAAACAGAAAATGCAATGGTATGGGAGGCTCCCTCTTAACCATCTAATACCCTGGCTATCGTAGGTTATAATAGAGAATTCTGTAAAACCCAAATTGAGTTAAATACAAAGTTGTGATTCCTCCAACCACTACCAGAAAAAAATTAAACAAACAAATAAATAAATAAATAAATAAAATTATTCATTTTAATTCTAAAACAAAACAAAACTTGATCTATTTCATTCCTTTGCCAAGAAATGTCAGATTCCAAAAGCCCGTCTATATTTTTGCCCTGGTTTCTGTGAAAGTACCCTTAGGAGGCTTGTTGTGATCCACTTACATCTATTCTCAACTGGGATTTCATGAAAGAATTAAGCTCCAGTCAATGCCCTAAGGCCTCTGTTTTATGTATGAATTAACTTCTTCCCCTATGCCTCCAGAATGGAATTTGATATGTATTATCCTTGGGAGGACGAAGAAAATACTCACACAGATTCTTTTCTTTTCGTGATTCCAAGGGGAAGAATCCCATTGAGACTGTGTTACACTAGAGAAGCATCATTTTAATGTCAAAGAGCAAATTCAAAATAACTCAATTCTCTAGCTCAAGTTCTCATATACTTTGCAAGGTGGTGGAGACCACAATATTTCTTTGAAATCATACCATCTTCTCCCGTGCTTTCTGTTTTCCACCATCATTGCTTCAATTCTTGAATCTCAAAACTATTCTGAAACGTCTCTTCCTCTCCACCTAATTCCATGCTGCCTCCCAAGCCAGAAGCAGCCAGTGGGATGCTACTTTCACGACAGTGCTGTTCTTTAGCGTTGCCAAAAAGCACAGGCTACGAGTATCCCCAAGTGCACAGTCTGCAGGAATCCTGGTAATTCTTTTCCTCTAAATTATTCATGAGAATCTGCTGGTATATTGTGTTCATTCCACATTTATTTCTCCTTCTTAATTTTGGCCCTATAACTTCTGAAACAGAGATTTTGTTTTGCTTAACTTCATTTAGTTCAACTTTATGTTTTATTACTGAGCACAGAAGGTTTCTAATATACATTATATACCCATTGAAAGGTTTGCCTTTAAAAGAAAACATCCAATATGTGCAGTGCTTATTTTTAAGGTTTGTGTATACATGGAAAAAGATAAATGAACTTTCAATATTGAGTTAATGAAGTCTAAGTAAAGAAATGGCAAAACTTTTATAGTATAGTGTAGGTTTAGTCATTTTCAATTAATACTTTACATACATTCATAAAGCACTGAGTTGAACTTACTACTATTAGATGAGCATATCCTAATTATTGTTTTTTTCTGGCTTTATTACTCAACAATATCACGTTGATATTCATCTATGTTGTTTCATATAATAGTTCATTATTCTTTATAATTGAGCAGCATTGGATCAATTATAAATTTATTGATCAATTCATCTGTTGAAAGACACTTTAACATTATAAACGTTGACATACAAGTTTTTCATGAACATATATTTTCATTCCTCTGGGATAAATGACTGGAAGTAAAATGCCTAGATCATATGTTAGGTCTATGCTTAACTTTTTAAGACATTGACAAACTTTTCCAGAATGGTTGTACCATTTTTATTCCATTCAAGCAGTGTAGGAAATGTCTAGTTTCTCCAAGTACTTGCTAACATTTAGTAGAAGATCAGCCTTTATCACTTTAGCAAATGTAGGAGGTATGTAGAGATATCTCGTTGTAATTTTTGTTTGCAGTTTTCTAATTACTCATGATGTTGAGCTTACTGAAATCTGTGTATATTTGTGACAATAATATTTTCACCAAAGTGTGTGCTCAAATATTCTGCCTGGTTTTTATTCAGTTGTTTCATTATTATTGGCTTTTGAGAGATCTTTATACATTCTGGATAAAAGTTTTTTATATCAGATATATATTTTGCAAGTATTTCTTTGTAGTCTGCAGCTTGTCTTTTCAGTATCTTTATAGTCTCTTTCAAATACAAGTGTCTTTAAAAGTTGATGAAGTTTTTGACTGTGATTTCCTTTTGTGATGTCTCAGAAATCTATACCATATAAAGACCAGAGACTTTCTTCTATGATGTCTTCTAGAAGTTTCATAACATTAGGTTTTATATTTATGTCTATGATCCATTTTGAGCTACTTTTTTCCATATGATGCAAGGTATTAATCGGTTGTAGGGTTGTTGTTTCTTTGCATATTTCTATCCAATTTCCCCATATACTACTTTTATTTTTATTTTTTATCTACACCAGAGGACACTTTTGCATTTATGTTCAGATAGAGAGGAAGGGAGAGAGGGAGGAGGAGAGAGAGAGAGAAACATCACTGTGAGAGAGGCACATCAACTGGTAGCCACCCACATGACCCCAACCGGAGGCCAAGGACAAACTGCAACTGAGGTCCATGCCCTTAATGGGAACCAAACCGGGTCTCTCTGGTCCACGGGCCGATGCTCTAACCGCTGAGCCAAACTGGCCAAGGCCCCATATACTACTTTTTGTTTTAAAATGTCATCTCCTCACAAAACTGTGTTTACCTTTGTCAAAAATCAGTTGTGCCTCTTTGTGTAGGTCTGTTTGTGAACTCTCCACTCTGTTCCATGGATGCATTTCTCTGTCCCACATTCCTTGTTGTCTTGATTACTGAGCTTCATAGTAAGTCTGGAAATCAAGTAGTACATCTTGCTATTTATTATCTGTTTGTACAATCTGTTCTTTGTTTCCATTTGTTTACCTGACAACTTTTGGATTACCTGAGTATTTTGTATCAGATTTTATACAATCTAAGTATTTTATGGTATGTTGGCTGACACTATAAAAACCTTTCATTCATATTTCTTCCTAGTCTTTTTTGCTATTGTTTTCATACATTATACTTACACACATTTTATACTATTACATTAATTTGTGTAAACAATGATCTTTTTAACAGCTTTATTGAGACATGATTCACATACATACCATTAACCCCCTTAAAGTTTCCAGTTTACTCACAGGGTTGTGTCCTCATCACCACAATCCAATTTTAGAATACTCTAGTTCCTCCTAAAGAAAATACATACCAGCCTGACTGGTGTGGCTCAGTGGTTGAGCATTGACCCACACACCAAGAGGTTGCTCTTTCGATTCCCGGTCAGGACGCATGCCCATGTTGTGGGACCGATCCCCAGTGGGGACATGCAGGAGGTGGCCAGTTGATGTTCTCTCTCATCAATGTTTCTATCTCTCTCTCCCTCTTCCTTCCTCATATTGTTATTTTTGAATTTTGGTTGTTTCTACCTTTCAACTATTATAAATAATGCTACGAGGAACATTTGTATATTAGCTTTCATGTGGATGTGTTTCAAATTCTCTTGAGTAGAAATGGAATTGCTGGGTGATAAGGTAACTATTAATTATTTGAGTGGTTGCCAAACTGTTTTCCAGAAAAGTGGCTGCACCATTTTACATTCTCACCAGCAATGTATAAGGTTCCCAGTTCCTTCATATCATCACCAAGATTTAGTATATGTCTTTGATTATTTCAATCCTACAGGATGTAAAGTGAGATCACTTTATAGTTTTTATTTTTACTTCTCTAATGCCTAGTGTTTCTCAGAATCTTCTAATATGCTTACTGGACATTTATATATCTTCTTTGGAGAAATGTGTATTTAAGCCTTTGCTCATTTTTAATTGAAATATTTGTTTGTTTGTTTTTTATCATTGAGTTATAGTTCTTAATGCATCCTGGATTTAAGATTCAAAAATTGATGTCTGTAAAAAACAATTTGTACGCTGGCAGGGGTTTCATTGGGATTGCACTGAATTGGTGCATCAGTTGGGAGGGCATTGCCATCACCACACTATCGTGTTTCACTCTATGAACATGAGATGTCTTGTGACTTACGTAGAACTTTAATTTCTGGTTATCACGTTTTGTAATTTTCACTGTAGAAGCTTCATACCTGTTTTGTTAAATTTATATTTATGTATTCTATTGTTTTTCATGTTATTGTAAATGAAATTGTTTTCCTAATTTTATCTTCAGAACATTTATTGTTATTTTATAGAAACACAGTTGACTTTTGTGTGTATATCTACTGCTAAACATGTTTATTTGTTCCAATATTGTGTGTGTGTGTGTGTGTGTGTGTGTGTGTGTTCTTTGGATGTCCTGTATACAAGACTGTGTCATCTGGAATAAAGGTAGTTTTACTTCTTCACAATCCATATGCCTTTTGTTTCTTTGTCCTGCCTAATCACCCTCGCCAGGATGTTCTGTACAATGTTAAACAGAAGTGGCAAGAGCACACGTCCTGTCTTGTTCCTGGCCTTACGAACAAAGCACTGAGACTTCCACCATTAAGTTTAATGTCACTGTGGACATTTTGTAGATGGGCTATTTTTGTAGCTGGTTGAGAAAGGTGTCTTTCATTCCTAGTTTGTTGAGCAGTTTTATCACAAAATGTGTTGAATTTTAAATACTATTTTCTGCATACAGGAGTGGGCAAACGTAGGTTTACAGTTGTTCATATAGAAAACTATGTAGTACAATAATAAATAATAATAGAAGAATAAACTGTTCTGTGTCCTCATAGCAGTAAACCTACTTTTGCCCTCCCCTGTATATTTAGATGATGATATGGGTTTTATCCTTTACTAATTAATATGGTATATAGCACTAATTGATTGGCAGATATTAAACAAACCTTGCATTCTTAAGATAAATTCCACTTGGCCATGGTAAAAAAACTATATAATGCTGGGTTGAGTTCGGTAGTGCCTGTGTTGAGAAATGATGAGTGTGTGTATATGTATATGTGTGTGTGTGTGTATACATATAATATATTTCTTTTTAGGAAAAAAGGGAAAGAGAGAAGTTGTGTATGAAGAGAGAGGAAGAGGAGAGATGCTGGGAGAAAGGAAAGGGATATTGGGTGGAGAGAGGTGGAGGGAGAGGAGGGAAGAAGGAAGAAGAGAAAGAGGAGGAGGCAGAATGTTGAGTGTATATTAATGTTCATAAGGAATATTCGCCTGTAGCTTCCTTTTCTTGTGATGTCTTTTATTTTGGTATATTGAGAAAAACGGTGTGATGTGATGAGTTGGGAAATGCTCCCCATTTTTACAATTTGGAAAGATTTGTGAAGGATTGGCATTAATTCTTCTCTGAATGTTTGATGCCATTCCCCAGTGACGCCATCTGGGCTTTACTTTTCTTTGTGGAAAGTTTTTAAATTACTATTTTGACCTCTTTACTTCTTTTAGGTCTCTTCATATTTTCAATCATGGAAGAATGGAGAAGAAATAGCAATTATACTGCCTTTTTAAATTACTTACATAATTACATTTTAAACAAGAGTATTATGTTTTTGCTTGTGGATTCAAATTGCTGCCTAGTGCCACTTGCTTTCAGCCTGATAAGCATACTATTGTATTTGTATAAAGCATATCTTCTAGCAACAAATTCTCTTTGTGTTTTATTTTTATCTTGGCATATCTTTATTTCACCTTAAGTTTTGAAAGATATTTTTTCCTGATATAAGATTCCTGACTGACAGTTTTTACCTTAAGCACTTTGAGACATCTCACTGCTTCTTGGCCTCGCTGCTCTGAAGAGAAGTTGGTTTTTAATCTTATTGTGATTTTTCTTGGATATGATAAGTGTTTTGGTTTTGTTTTGTTTGTTTTTTTTTCTTATAGCTTTCAAGATATTCTCTCTTTATCTTTGGCTTTCAACATTTTGACCATGATCTGTCTGGATGTAGCTTTCTTTGCATTTGTCATATTTACAATGTTTTAGCCTCTTGGATGTATAGATTAGGGTTTTCTTTGCATTTGAGAATTTTTCAGTCATTATTTCTTTGAATATTTTTTCTCTCTTTCTCTCTTTTGTTGGTATCCTGCTCATATGTTGATACATTTAATGGTGTTCCCGACTTGTCTGTATCTGTTAATAATTTTCATTCTTCCTTTTCTCTGTGTTTCACATTGCATACTTTCTAATAACACATCTTTAAATTCACTGATCTTTCTTATGCATATCTAGTGACTGTTTTCATCACTATTATTGTGCTTATCAACTCCAAAATTTCCATATGGTTTAGTTAAATAATTTCTGTCTCTTTATTAATATTCTTTATTTGATGATATATGGTCCTCACACTTCCTTTTATTTATTAGAGCTGGGTTTCCTTTAGTTTTTGAACATGTTTATATTCGCTCTTTGAAATCTTTGTCTGCTAAGTCCGTCATCCTGTTTACTTCAAACACAGTTTCTATTGCATACTATGTTTTCTGGCTTGGTGACACCTTTTTTGTTCCTTTCCATGTCTCATAATGTTTTTGTTGTTGCTGATGGCTAGATATTTTATTTATTTATTTTTGGTACATGCCCCTAGTGGGAACTGAACCCAGGACTCTGGTCTGCAGGCCGATGCTCCAACCGCTGAGCCAAACCGGCCAGGGCTGATGACTAGATATTTTAGAAAACACATTGTAGCAACCATAGATACCGATTTCTTTCCCCCTAGGAGGCTGTTGTTTTGTTTGTTTTTTTGCTCTGTGATTTTTTTTACTTGTTCTTTGTCTGAACTAACTCTGAAATATTTTCACAACAGTGTGCACTTCTGCTGTGTCTACTGAGATTTGTATCCCTGGCTGCCTGGTGGATGCCTGTGTGTTTGCATAAGCCACTTACTGATCATTGTTGGTGCATACACAATCATAGCCACCTGGCCTTTACCTTTGGAAATCTGTATGGCTTGAAGACTGACGTTACAATACAGGACCTGTGAGTTCCCTCTCTGATCATTCCTGAGAAGGCATAGCCTTGGGCATACACCAAATCTTACTGATTGCTTGGGATGACTCTGATATTTTTAAGCCTGGCTTACTCTGCATTTCTCTTGGGTAAGAGTAGCTTATTGTGCGGTGAGTGCTTGGTCGGAGGTTGTGCTTAAGCTTGTGGGGCCAGTGAGGCTTCTACCCTATGTTAATGGGTCTCTTTTGCAGTTTGGAGAATGCTTTCAAGTCTGCCCTCAAATATGCTTCCAACTCCTCCTGAGTTGGCACAGTCTAGTACATGCGTACAACTGTCCCAACTTCCAGAGTTGATTGGGGTCCCAGGATGACTCCTGTCTGTCTCTGTTCCTGGTTCTATTACCATATATAATAGTAGGAGACAGGAATGTAGGTTTCTTAAATCTTAACTTGTATGCCTATAATATTAAAGTACCCCCATAATTGTTCCTTTAGTGTTCTCCAGTAGTATGACTTTCCTGCTTTTAAACATTAGTTGCTGTTAATTGCTCTAGGGATACATTTTTAAACTCCTGGAAAGAGGCTTGCTACTTCCAGGTCTGCTTATATATCCAAAGGAATGGAAAGCTGGGTCTCAAGAAGATACCTGTACTTCCATGTTCATAGCAGCATTTTTCACATTAGCCAAAAGATAGAAACAATCCAAATGTTCATGATTGGTAAATAAACAAAATGTAATTTTATATATACAATGGAATAATATTCAGCCTTAAAAAGGAAAGAAATTCTGATGAACCTTGAACACATTATGAGAAGTGAAATAAGCCAGACACAAAAAGACAAACACTGCATGACTCAACTCACGTAAGATATGTAGAGTAGTC